CAGCCCTCCAAAAATTTTTCTCAAATGGTGGTGGAAAAAGGGTATTTGAATATTTTTAAGGTAGTGGTCAATGGATTCCTGATGAGCATGTGGTGAAAGGTTATCAGGGTAGGCAGGAATATAGAGTAATCAGATCAACCACGATCCGATAGAACAGGGGCCAAGTGGCATATCCTGTTCCTAATTCATTTGTTAGTATGAATTGTATTTGCTAGTTCTGTACTGCCAGAGATATGACAGTTCAGGATTTCTACTGACCTGTTTACTCACACTTTGATATGTCCAAGGTTAGGAGTCTGAAGGTGTAGAGCTGGATGAACACAGCAGGCCAAGCAGCATCAGAGGAGCAGGAAAGCTGACGTTTCGGGTGTGGACCCTTCTTCAGAAATGGGGGAGGGGAAGGGAATTGTGAAATAAATAGAAACGGGGAGGCAGATGGAAGATGGATAAAGGAGCAGATAGGTGGAGAGGAGACAGACAGGTCAAGGAGGTGAGGATGGAGCCAGTAAAGGTGAGTGTAGGTGGGGAGTTAGGGTGGGGGTTGGTCAGTCCAAGGAAGACGGACAGGTCAAGGGGGCGGGATGAGGCTAGTAGGTAGGAGATGGGGGTGGGGCTTGAGGTGGGAGGAATGGATAGGTTGGAGAAAGGATGGACAGGTTAGGGAGGCGGGGACGACCTGAGCTGGTTTTGGGATGCGGTAGGGGGAGGGGAGATTTTGAAGCTTGTCAAGTCCACATTGATACCATTGGGCTGCAGGGTTCCCAAGCGAAATATGAGGTGCTGTTCCCGCAACCTTCGGGTGGCATCATCGTTCCGCACACCGACGTCGCTCCGCCCACCGCCTCCACAGCCAGCAGGTCCAGAGGAGAAAGTAACACCCAGCCCTGTTGGGTCTTCACCATCCCCCCAGACCTCCCCCTCACTGAGGACGAATGGTCAGTCCTCAGTAAAGGGCTCACCTTCATACCCCTCCGCCCTAACATCAACGAATACTGCTCACGCTTGGACGTTGAAAAGTTTTTCCGCCGCCTCCGCCTCCGCACTTACTTTTGTAATCCTGAGCATGAGCCTAACCCTCCCTCGACTGACCCCTTCTCCCACCTCCAACACACACCCTCCTCCTGGATACCACCCCAAGGCCTCCTACCTTCCCTCGATCTCTTCATTTTCAACTGCCGTCGAGACATCAATCGCCTCAACCTCTCCACCGCTCTCACCCACTCCAATCTCTCCCCCACAGAACATGCAGCCCCTCGCTCTCTCCGCTCCAATCTCAACCTCACTATAAAACCCGTGGACAAGGGAGGCGCAGTTGTAGTATGGCACACTGACCTCTACATCGCCGAGGCCAGACGCCAGCTCTCTGACACCTTCTCCTACCACCCCCTTGATCATGACCCCACCCCCGACCACCAAAACATCATCTCCCAGACCATCCACAACCTCATCACTTCAGGTGACCTCCCACCCACAGCCTCCAACCTCATCATTCCCCAACCCCGCACTGCCCGTTTCTATGTCCTTCCCAAAATCCACAAACCTGACTGCCCTGGTTGACCCATTGTCTCCACCTGCTCCTGCCCCACCGAACTCATCTCCACTTATCTCGACTCCATTTTCTCCCCGTTGGTCCGGGAACTCCCTACCTACGTCCATGACACCACCCACGCCCTCCACCTCCTCCAAAACTTCCGATTCCCTGATCCCCAACACCTCATCTTTACCATGGATGTCCAGACCCTATACACTTGCATTCCCCATGCAGAAGGCCTAAAGGCCCTCTGCTTCTTCCTGTCCTACAGGCCCAACCAGTCCCCATCCACTGACACCCTTATCCGCTTAGCCGAACTCGTCCTCACCCTCAACAACTTCTCTTTCAATTCCTCCCACTTCCTACAGACAAAGGGGGTGGCCATGGGTACCTGCATGGGCCCAAGCTATGCCTCCCTCTTTGTAGGATACGTGGAACAATCTCTCTTCCAAAGCTACACTGGCTCTATCCCCCACCTCTTCCTCCGTTACATTAATGACTATATCGGCGCCGCCTCGTGCTCCCATGAGGAGCTCGAACAGTTCATCCACTTCACTAACACCTTCCACCCCAACCTTAAGTTCACCTGGACCATCTCCAATACCTCTCTCCCCTTCCTGGACCTCTCTGTTTCCATTTCTGGCAACCACCTGGAAACCGATATCCATTTCAAGTCTACCGACTCCCACAGCTACCTAGAACGCACCTCCCCTCACCCACCTTCCTGCAAAAATGCCATCCCCTATTCCGAATTCCTTCGCCTCTGCCGCATCTGCTCCCAAGATGAGGCATTCCATTCCCGGACATCCCAGATGTCCTCGTTTTTCAAACCGCAACTTCCCCTCCACAGTGGTCGAAAACGCCCTCAACCGTGTCTCTCTCATTTCCCACAACTCATCCCTCGCACCCCCTCCCTGCAATAACAACCAAAACAGAATCCCCCTCGTTCTCACGTATCACCCCACCAACCTCTGCATCATCCTCCGACACTTCCGCCATCTGCAATCTGACCCCACTACCAAAGACATTTTTCCCTCCCCACCCTTATCTGCCTTCCGGAGGGACCACTCTCTCCGTGACTCCCTCGTCTGCTCCACACTCCCCTCCAGCCCCACCACACCCGGCACTTTTCCCTGCAACCGCAGGAAGTGCTACACCTGCCCCTACACCTCTCCCCTCACCCCCATCCCAGGCCCCAAGAAAACCTTCCATATTAAACACATGTTCACCTGCACATCTGCTAATGTGGTATACTGCATCCGCTGTACCGGATGTGGCCTCCTCTACATCAGGGAAACCAAGCGGAGGCTTGGAGACCGCTTTGTGGAACACCAATGCTCGGTTCATGACAACCGACTGCACCTCCCAGTCGCGAACCACTTCAACTCCCCCTCCCACTCCTTGGACAACATGTCCATCCTGGGCCTCCTGCAGTGCCACAACGATGCCGCCCGAAGGTTGCAGGAACAGCACCTCATATTTCGCTTGGGAACCCTGCAGCCCAATGGTATCAATGTGGACTTCACAAGTTTCAAAATCTCCCCTCCCGCTACCGCATCCCAAAACCAGCCCAGCTCGTCCCCGCCTCCCTAACCTGTTCTTCCTCCCACCTATCCCCTCCTCCCACCTCAAGCCCCACCCCCATCTCCTACCTACTCACCTCATCCCGCCCCCTTGACCTGTCCGTCCTCCCTGGACTGACCAATCCCCTCCCTAACTCCCCACCTGCACTCACCTTTACTGGCTCCATCCCCACCTCTTTGACCTGTCTGTCTCCTCTCCACCTATCTTCTCCTCTATCCATCTTCCATCCTCCTCCCCCTCTCTCTCTCTTTATTTCAGAACCCCCTTCCCCTCCCCCATTTCTGAAGAAGGGTCCAGAGCCGAAACGTCAGCTTTCCTGCTCCTCTGATGCTGCTTGGCCTGCTGTGTTCATCCAGCTCTACACCTTGTTATCTCAGATTCTCCAGCATCAGCAGTTCCCACGATCTCAGAATCTGAAGATCAGGATTAAGTGACATACCTTTAATTGTATCAATGAAGTGCATGTCCTATGGACCTGTTGGAATTTCTGAGCAATGCTTTACTGTTGTGTTGGCAGAGGAGAGTTAGGTATTCGGGTAATTTGAAGTTGGACAAACATCTTCAAAAATTCTTGGTCACTGATCTTTCAGTCTCCAATCAGTAGTCACTTAGCCCTTCAAATCCATATGTTTGGTCCATTGTTTTGTGAAGATATACCTACTGCATTTGTACAGCAGACAGAACTAACAGAATGTCTGGGTTAGCACACTATCCCACTCGTCCCAATCCAAAAAGGAACATCAAAATGGAAGATGTAAAATAGAAGGACACTATCAAAATTTTTCTTCAGAACCATAACAGGACAGAATCTGTTCCAGTCATAATTCCTGTCCCACAGATGCCAGTGCGCTCAATTTCTGCCCTTGTTGATTTCTAAGGTTATTATTTTAGTTATGAAACGAAAATTCATCATGTATGTTTGTTGTCACATATTTTAAAGATTGCAGAACTGTATAACAAAACTAGATGGCAGTAAGAATACCTCTTGCCATGATATAAGTTACCTGTATTGGCTTGGTGTGCTATCAACATGAATTTATGACTGCATGCCGTATGATAATACATGCAATTTTCAATTATGTCTAACTGTCATTCTGTGCACTATGGGTGTGAAATGTAATTTTTTTCAATATTCAGCATAACAATATTCCTGTTTTCCTCATTGATGGTATTAAAGGGCTGAATTTTCCACTGGCTGTCAGAGGGCCAGGAATCTCGGGTAAACCCGCATTGTGATGTCTCCAATACATTTGTGCCTCCATGGGGATTTCCCAGAGACAGACTTGGAAGAGCAATAGCTGCAGACTCGAAAGAGGTAGACAGTCAATTTAGATAATTGAGGATCTGTTTTCAAACAACGCTCGTATTTCCCCACTGTTGAAGTGACATCTTCCCCAAAAAATACAACTCAGTCAAGGTTGACTATAATCAGGAGACCAACTCACCAATAGGACTAGAAAAATCCATAGCCCAATGATGGGGTCACAGGGATAAAAGGCCGCAACCACATGTGTCACTATTCTTGTGGACAGGTTTTCTCTCCACTCTGATTAACCCTGCTGTCTTCAAGCTTCTTTATTGATCATGTCTTTGTACACAACCTGGAGGTGCCCTTGTGTTTACCTGCAGGCCTCCTGGTGGGGCTGCTGGTCTATAACATCTCCAGGCCCTTTGTTTGGGCTTTTCAGCCTCAGAACCTGCCTGTCATCCTTCCTTATGTAGCTGTCTCCCAGAAGGTTGCAGATTGAGTGGGTCTGACAACAGTTTCCCAATGCCCACTGGAAAATTCAGCCAGGTACAACTTAATATTTGATATCATATTACTTCAGACATATTAAGTAAAATTACTGCATGTCTGTATGACTTATTTATATCAACATTTCAGATTTGAGTGGACGTACCTACATCCCAAAACTACAAGGTAAGTTGCCTAAACATGTATTTTATGGGCAAAGTACAAATAAAATGTATTTTGTATTAAATTAGATAAATAGGCCCAGGCCTTTACTAAACTGTCAACCTTTGGAAACCTTTGTCATAGAAACCAATACCCATTGATCATCCAAATCTACTGTTACACTTTCCAAAGGACACCAAAATTGCTGCCAGAATTTTGCTAGTTCAAATTTAGAGTAAATGCTCCAAAGTCATACATGCTGCTTTATTCTTTCAGATAAAAAAAATCATAGAATACAATATGACTAAAGCATCACTTGGACTCACTCATTCATATCAAATGAGTAGCCCTGATAATGTATTAAATTGCAAGGAATAACACACCTAATATTATAAAACAGCTGTCCTCCAGTTCTCTATAATGACTGCCAAAGGAAGTCACTAATAATAATTTTCAAACACATGGATGGCCTATCCATTGCACTTTGCATATCTATAACATTTCAAGTATAACATATTACCTTCTTCAATTTTTCCAAGTTATTTAAAGAAACACGAGAAAGAAAGTTTCACTAACATTTCAAATAATAGTAATATTGAATTTTCAACGTCAGAATTCATTTGAGACAAAATTTTCCGGTTAGCAGAATCTCCATGCTAACGGCTTCTTTTTGCTCATACATTCAAATTCCACAATAATCTAAATTTATTCACTTTTGCACCAGTGGCAACGTTGTATCTTAATTTATATTTAACAGGGTACCTGTCACAACACCAAAGCAATCATTTTTTAAAAAGTATCACCAGTGAATAAGAGAAGCGTGCATTTATACACTGCAACATGTTTGAGAAATTTGAAAAAACACAATGTCAGTCTTAAACTTTAGGCTGTTTTAATTGAGGTGACTTTCACCATGTTTTTGTTCATCTGACCTAATGTCTCTTACGTGGCCCAGTGGCACATTTTATAATTCTCACGTGAAATGTGCTGATAAGCTTAACTACATTGAAGATATCGAAATATAGATGGTTGTCATCTTGAATTATTATTGAGTTAACCTTTTTCAATATGTTTGCATGTCAGCAAAATTGGCACAGAATTAAATTTGAGTATATAATAATCAAATCATCATTAATTTCTAAGAAGAAAAATGAGGTTTTGTAGAAATTGATTCAGATTTCTACCTAAGTATTAAATTTTACAGAATAGTAGATGACTATTTGACCAATAATGAATGTTCTTTGGAAAAAAGAAACTATCCATTTCTTGTACATTTTTAAACATTAGTATGTACCATCATTTCTTTTAAAAGTTATTATGGATTCAGCTGTCACCACTGTTTAGGTTTTGGATGTTCCACACCAAAATTTGCATGTATACAAATATATGAGGGCTCTGTGTCACAGGTTTACTGTCCCTGCCTCTGGGCCAGAAGGTCCAGGTTCATGCCCCATCTGCCTCAGATACATCATAATGTGTCTGAACATGTTTATTAAAATATCTACAAACATACAGTACTTTTTAAATATTTTGAGAGATGTATAGCTTCTGCTTCATTTAAAATTTTAAAGCCTTTTCTTTGCCCTAACTTTATCAACAGGAAAGCAACCACTTCCTTCATCTTTCCCAAAACCATGGTGGCCATGCAGCCCTTTTGTTAAAATGTACATTAATTGGATTTTCTGTAAGTGTATTTTTTTCTTTCCACAGGATACGAAATTGGAAATGGAACAGTACTTAAAATTGTAATAGCATTGGTGGTAACCGTGATTATTGTTTTGGGTACTATTGGGTTCTGGTATCTTTGGAAGAGGAATCAACCTTCTTTCAGATTCTCAGGAAATGCATATTATAGACAAACTACCCCTGAAGGTACCGATTGTGATGGAAATATTCTTATTGCAGCATTTGAAAGGAATGGTGGAAATTAACTAAGTGAATCCATACACTTACAGCACAAGAAAGACTTTTTGGACTTAAGATTTTAAATGATGGATTTAAATGTTGACCCGAGATTCAGCAATTTAATACTCATTTAAACATAGGTTTAATCATTGTCATACAATGTGGATGCAATTTTCTGCACATTGTGCATTCTCTATAAGGATTTCGCACTTATCAATTTTCCTAGATTAAGAGGCAGGCTTTGGTTGAAGAGCTTGTCATATTTACATAAAGTGCGCAAACATTTCATTTGTTCAGTATTGGAAACAGCATTGTATTCTAGTGTTCTAAATTTTAATGACTTGACATGTGCATATATCCATTCAGTTGAAATTGTGTGTTCAGTTGTATAATTTGTGTGGATTTAATGCAGTTTGATGGCGTTGAAACCAAGGTAGAGGCAATGTACAATCTCATGGGAGGCTGTGTTTCAGAGGCATGTTGCTGGAACTCTAGGCCAAATGTTTACACACCACAGGAATTAGTTGGTTTACCGTAATGTCTGCTTCAGAAGTTGTGCTGTGTTTTACTGGTTTAATTAAACTAACCCACAGAGTTAATTAATCCTTGGACAGACAGGAGTTTCTTGTCTTGCCCTTTGTTGGGAACAGCAATTCCCTCCATTCCCATGCCACCTTAAGAAAAATCAACTGTGAGCTATCCCTGAATCATGGGGCCACCTTTTGTTTGCCCTTCTGACATTTTAATGGTAACAGCATCTTACTACACTGCACTGGATTGAGCGCTGCAGACACAGGAGATGTAAGTTTTGGGCCAGGGTGGTGAGCAGTCTGTGTCTCGAAACCGAGCGATCTGTGTCTTGCAGGTGAAAGCTGCTGGTCAGTGGCAGAAAGTTGGTCCGCAACAGTGCAAAAAAACTTTTGAGGTAATGCGGGCAGGTCTGACTGTCATTCAACAAAGTTGCGAGCACCTGTCTCCTATCCCCTGAAGTTAAGATAGCTCAGTTTCTGTGCTGTTTCTTGTGAATTAGCTGGCTATCCAGTGAACCCATTTGGCTGGCCACTTACCCCCAAACACTGAAGGCCCCCATTTCTGAATCTGAAACCATGACCTATGTTGCTGACACAAAACTCTGCCCATTGCGTGCACAAAACATTTGCATCTTTGACTTGACTTGTCTTTCTGCTCTGCCCCATTGCAAAATAGGAACATGGTTTGGTCTTTGTTGCTTTTATAATCATTAACTTTATTCCTCTCATTTTATTGAATGAATCAAGGCATCATTTCTATCCATATGTTGGATGGATAGGAATGGAATGTACAAGATAACTAGTGTGGGTGTCACAAGAGATCATTTTGAAGACTGGATCTTGTTTATATATACCCTCTCACTTTTTGGTCACTGTCATCTTCTGAATGACCACCCACAGCCAGTGTTTCAGCCAGCAGGACATAAAAATGGCATTGACATTCCTCTTGTATAAAGGGCTAAAAATTTAAATACTGACATAAGGCTCAGTCCCATGGCAATGCTGTAGCAGAAAAGCAGAAAACAAGCTGCAATTCAACTACTTTGATTACATAAGAACTAAGAACAGAGTGAAGCAATTCAACCCCTCAAGCCTGCTCTGCCATTTGTATGATTATGGCTGATCTTATCTCAGCTTCAACTGCACTTTCCTGCCCAGTTCCCATAACCCGTCAACCGTGTACTAATTAAAAATCTGTGTATGCCCTCTTCAAATTTACTCAGTGTCCCAACATCCACTGGGTAGTGAATTCCACAGACTGAAGACCCTGTTAAATCTGTTACTCCTTATCCTAAAAGTAACCTTTCATTCCAGATTGACCCATGTGAGGAAACATCCTCTCTGCATCTACTTTGTCAATCCCCTTTAGCATCTTGCATACCTCAATTAGATCTCCTCTCATTTTTCTAAACTCCAGAAAGTATAAGACTAAACTGCTCAATCTCACTGCATAAGACAAACCCCTCATCTCTGGAATAAACCTAGTGAACTGTCTGTGAACTGCCTCAAATAAATCTACATCCGTCCTCAAGTGAGGGGACCAAAATTGTACACAATACTCCTGGTGCAGACTCACTAATGCCTTGTACAGCTGCAAGAACACTTCCCTACATTTATACTCTATTCCTTTAGCAGTAAATGCCCAAATTCCACTTGCTTTCATTATTACCTGATACACCTGCATACTGGCTTTCTGTGATACATGCACAAGTGCACTGAGATCTGTCTGTACAGAAGCACTGTGAAGTTTCTCCATTTAGACAACAAGTTGCCTTTATGTTCCTCTGACTAAAGTGGATAACATTACATTCATTCATGTTAAACTTCATCTGCCAAACTTTGGCTCATTCACCTGACCTATCACTGTTGCCTCACAGTGCCAGGGCTCCAGGTTCAATTCCAACCTCAGGCGACTGTGTGGAGTTTTCACGTCCTCCCTTTGTTTGCGTGGATTTTCTCCAGATGTTCCAGTTTCCTCCCTAAGTCCAAAGATGTGCAGGTTAGGTGGATTGGCCATAACAAATTGTCCATAGTGTTCAGGAATGCAGAGGCTAGGTGGATTAGCCATGGCAAATATCGGGTTATGGGGATAGGGTAGGGGGCCATGTCTGGGTAGGATGCATTTTGGAGGGTTGATGCATACTCAATGGCTAATTTCCGCACTGTAGGGATTCTGTGATTCCATGACTCTATCCATACCCATTTGTAAAGTTCATATTTCCTCATTGCAATTTACTTTCCAACTTATCTTAGTTTCATCTGCAAATTTTGCTAGAATTCTTTCAATCCCTGCATCCAAGTCATTAATATAGATTGTAAATAGTTGGGACTGAGGAGCAAACCATGTGGTACCCCAATAAAAGGTTCTTGCCAAGAAGAAACAGACCCATTTGTTGCAACTCACTACTTTCTGTTGGTTAACCAATCCTCTACCCAAACTAATAAATTACTCCAACCATCATGTGATCTTACCTTACGTATTAAAATTTTTTTGTATAGCACCTTAGCAAATGCCTTCTGGAAGTCTAGATGTACTACAACTGCAGAATCCCCATTATCCATATTGTTATTACATCTTCAAAGAACTCTTAGCAAATTAGTTAAACATAATTTATCATCATAGAATTATGCTGGCTCTGATGAATCATATTTTGACTTTCCGAATGCCCTGTTATTATTTCCTTAAAATGGATCCTAACAATTTCCCAATGACACATGTTAAACTAATTGGTCTGCAGTTTCCTACTTACTACTACCCTCCCTCATTTGTCTGTGTCCCTCCTTTATGGAGGGAGTTAAAATACATTCCTCAGGATTAAGACTCAAATTAGCAATTGAGGAAGGCTATAGTTGCATAGTGGAATACCATAGTCAACCCTTCAGAAACACATTTTATCATAGCTCAAGTAAGTAACAGTCAATTTTAAAATTGTGTAAATGAACAGATCCTACATTATTGCTATACGTGTTTTTAAGGTTAATTTTTTTCTTGTTTTTTTTCCTCTGGAGAGTTTTGTTTCCCCTCTGGTTTCTGTCGTATCATGAAGTGTAATCACAGTTAAACCTGAACAGCTGGTTTCAAGACTAAATGAGTGTCACAGTATCATTCTCTGATCTGTTGCTTCAGGTGTTTTTGCATTGGAATTTGACACAGCAGTTAAATATCCTTGCTTCTCAAGATCCATTCTTCAACACTTCTACATTTTAACAATTGATTGAATGTAATTCTGTTGTGCAGGTTACTCACAGCCAAAAACCTGGAATTTCAACTTCCAGATTGATGTCACCTTTAATCTATTAATTCTTACGAGACTTGAAATATTGATCCCTCATAAGAAACTCTAACTCATAAAAACAAAGTCCCTTCCAAACTAACTATTGAGCAATTTATTCTAATTATAAATTATAAATACTGATCAGACAGGAAAGTTTTAAGTGTGCTACTAAGAATTTGATAAAATAGTTTGAAATCTATTAGATCCTTTATGTCAGATAAAAATGCTGCAATATACATATGAATTGGTACAAAGGTCAGTACTTAATGGGGGGCGGAAACAGGAATCAAGCCTGCACACTAGATAGCAGACAGTGAAGCCCATATTACTTCTACTGAGGAACCTCCACCAAATTAAGTAACAATCAGGCAACAGAGCACCAATATGCCTCTGATGGGTCCAAGGATTTCAACAGTAGAAATACATTTCCTGAGAGTTGCCTCCTGGTCGTAGGCCTCCACTGTCCATTTCTCAGCATCGCTACCGTGCAAATATAGGCTGCTACCAGTAATGACCCCACACAAGGACAAGGATAACTGAGCAACCCTGGCCACAGTGAGTAATGGTGGGGTAGGGGTCTTAGGGAAGGGAGAGTTATGGTAGGGAATGCCTCTCAGTTTCACGAAATTGTTTTTGTTGTATCAGATAAATAAAGTTTTGTTTGTTAAACTCTTTGCCTAGGAACAGGAAAAGCAATTCTACCACTTGACTCTGTTCCTACATTCTAATAGGTCATGGCTGATCTAAAGCCAATGCCATTTATCTCCTTGTCTTCAAAATCTCTTGTTCCCCTTGTCTAACAAACATCTATAAATCTCAGTCTTGGAAATTGCTATTAACTCAGAAACCATGACTTCTTAGAAGAAGGAGTTCCAAATTAACAATGCTCTTTTGAGGGGTATAGGGAGCTAACATATTTTACTCTTAATTGCTGTACCTCTAAATATTATTATTATTATAGATTCCTACATCAAAAGAAATAATTTCATATCACCAACTAAACTTAATTCCTTTATAATATTATCCACCTCATTTAGAGGCCTCTTCAGCCTTCTGAATTCAAAGGAGTACAAAGTTTAGGCAATCTGTCCTTTTAATTTAATCCTGTAAACCCTGCTAAAGTTCTGATAAATCTGCACTGAAAATCTCAATGGTAGAACGTAGAACATAACAGCGCAGTACGGGCCCTTCGGCCCTCGATGTTGCGCCGACCTGTGAAACCAATCTGAAGCCCATCTAACCTACACTATTCCATTATAATCCATATGTTTATCCAGTGACCATTTAAATGCCCTTAAAGTTGGCGAGTCTACTACTGTTGCAGGCAGGGCATTCCACGCCCTTACTACTCTCTGAGTAAAGAACCGACCTCTGACATCTGTCCTATA